TCGTGTACAGCAATTAACCACTAAGAAGAATATATGCAGTGTATTATTTGTTGAAACTGTACTTCCGATTGGATTTGAAACTGTCTCATTGCTATCTGTTTATCAATAAAACTTTGAAAAAAACAAAAAAAAAAACATCTGCGGCAAAGATATTTTTAATGTGGTGAAATAATTAAAATACTTGCAAGCAGGTGCAAGGGCTGGGGGTTCGATCCCAGGCTTGCCATGCTGGTGCCACCCTGGGGGCATGCTGAGACAGCAATTGAGACTGGGCATGGTGGCACATGCCTACAATCCTAGCTCTTGGGAAGCTGTAAACAGGCAGACTGTTTTTTATAAACTGTTAGTCATAGACCAGCAAGATATCTCAGTGATCTAAAACACCTACTTAGGCAAGCTTAGGCAAATGTAAGTACCATGGTTCAATCCCCAGCACATGTTGTGCCAGCTCCTCCCCCAGGGCTGGCAGAGCCAGACACAAAAAATAAAATAAAATAAAATAAACTCCTAGTAAATATTTGCTCTTCCCCATACCTAGGAAAATGGCTATGTATTTTTCTTTTCTTTTTTTCCCCATTTTTTAAAGAACACAAAAAAAAACCATTAGAAATAATACAGACCAGAGATATAGCTCAACAGCATAAGTGCTGTCTGGCAAATATGAGGTCCCAAGTTTAATCCTGGGTACCACCAAAACAAACAAGCAACAACAAATATATGTGAAATAATGCAAAATTTAATTAAACAAAGTAATAGCAATTCCACAATGGTAACTGTATTGCATGATGCTATCTTCAAATTAGTTGTTTAGGTTACTAGATATAAACTTGCAAAATAGGTGAAAAATAACAAGAAAGTTATAATAAATTAAAAAGAAGAAAAGAACAAAAAGAAAAAATGTGAACATTAACTGCTCCTTTCAAAAGATCAGCAAAAATCAGCAGTACAGTTATCCCAATTATCCTGCATATATACACAAATATATCCTTTCCCCTTCTTTCTTTTGTCCTTTTCATCATCTCAGTTTTTCTTCCAAATGAACAAATACTTTCCCTTTCACAGTATCTAATATACCTTTCAGATTTTATTTACTCTTTCAGGTTCTCACACTAGCAAGACAATATGACGTCTGCACATGCGAGTCTGATTTACTGCACTTATGAGTACAGTATCTAGTCACATCCATTTATCCACAAAAGACTCAAATTTATCTTTTACATAGCTGAGAAATACACCATTGTGTAAAAATATAACATCTTTTTTAAAAAAGAATTTTATTGAGAAACAAATAGCAATCAAACAGTTTCAAAACCAATTACTAGCACAGTTTCTATAATGAATACATTGCATATTGCTGTTTTAGTGGTTATTCATTGTACAAGATGCAGACATGATATCCTGTCCATAAACATTATTAGAGCAAATCTCTTTATTCACTGAATTAAGAGAATGCACCTGGATATCTATCCTAACTATATTGAATATACAGATACAAAATGGTAGTTCATTTGTATCCACCTTTTTAGTTTAGGTTTGTCAGAGAAGGGTATTTCATTGTCATTTAAATATTGTAGGTGTATGAATTCAGCAAAATATTCCAATATAGTCCAGTAGTCCATAATAGTAGTGGGTTTTCCCTATGACTGGCAATGTCAGAAGTTGTTGACTTAGCCTTTTACAGCTCAGCATATTAATATGGCTTTACTTTTTATACTTTGTTTTTATAATTTTCTGCTGGATGGTTAAGACCAAGATAAAGTGAGACCTATATAACAAGAAATGTAACTTTTGTACCTGATAAGGTCAGTCAAATCTCCTCAGGATTTACCCTGAAACCCTGTGCCTCAGTTTGTAGATCCTTTGTCAGTGTCAGCCATGTGGATGAGTCACAGCCATTGCTTGACCAATTTGCTCTCTGAATATCACATCTTTTTTTATGCATTTCTCAATGGACTGGCATTTGTGATGTTACCATGCCTTTTTAAACCTAAAATCTACTCATTTGCAAGGTTCAAGCATTTATAGTATATAAGTGGAGGAAAACATATCTGAGTTAATTTTCCTGGAATGTAAAAATCAAGCCTGTGATTGGATTTCATTTCTAAATAAATGATGATAATCAAATGATATACATGTGCACTTTAATCTTCATAATTACTTGATAAATTTTAATGGAACAAGATAATTCTTGTTGCTTTATTGGCCTAGCTCACACCGATTGACAAGTATTTGGATTTTTTCCCAAGAATTTAGCTTCATTTTTAGTTCAGGGAGAAAAAGACAGAAAAATTTATATTGATAGGTTTATGTATAATTTAATAAAAAAATGGAACTTTCTTATATTCTAGAAATTACAATGAAATGAAACTTAATAAAATTAGTCTATGAAATTATTGTTCATGTATCGTAATATTGGGGTTGAATGTATTGCTGCAATATATTTTCTATTTTTATATTTGATTATATTTTTGATAAAGACCATTTACTTATATGTTTCATATTGAGCACAAATTTCATTGGAAAATTATTTAACTTTCTTCTGTTTCTGACTTTTGAAAGCAATATAAAATAAGAAATTATGCATATTGAAATCTTTAAATAATATATGTGGTGTAGTTTCCTATAGTGAATACCAGTCTTAAATAACTTGTTAAGTTTTATGCAGTCAGTTCAAATTTACTTTTATTCATTGATAATTATTTCAAAGAGAAAAATCATATCAATGAGATGAGATTTCTAATAAATTTGCACTAGATTTACTGTAGTTAGCATTTTTAAGTTTTTATTTTCATAAGGCTGTGTACTTTCTACTTTTTAACTATTTACTTTTTTTAGCTCTAATTTTGGTCATACAATGTTTGCAATATAGAGTTATTGCTTTTTCTTTTGAGGCTTTCTGTATGTTTTAGTACATAATAGATTTTCATGAACATTTGGCAGATATTTCAGAATCTACAATCCCTTTTATGTGATGTTGTGTTTACCACCTGTCCATTAGCCTTATTGCTTTTTTAACTTAGCCCCCAAATCTACTCATTCTGAAGCAATTATTTTCATTTACATATTTACCAAATTACATTTACTTCTTTGTGATTGAAAATACATTTGCCAAACATAATATGGAAATCCATAAAAATACACAGTAGAAAATGATATTATTCATTATATGATACCACTGTAATAACTGAACTTGTATTTTTTCAAGATTTTCTATAGATATGTGTATCACTAAA